TGCGTTTGTTGGAAAATTAGAAACTCCCAAATTTACAGTCGGGCGAAAAAATATGCTTGTTTAGAAGCCTTCATGCCTGCAGAACGGCGGGGCTCGGGGCCGGAGCCCCCCTCACTCTTTTGAAAAAGAATGTTAAAGAGGAAAAGAAATAAAGAGAGAGAGAGAACAAATGAGTGACCTGCCAATGTCACAAATAAGGTGTCAAAATATGCTCATTTGACCGTAATTAAATGCTTAAAACCCCTGAACTTACGGGGACTTCGACCCCTGAACCCCACCAAAGGCACTAAGGCGGGCCCCGGGATGCTCATCTGACCGTAATTAAACCTAAAACCCCTGAGCTTCCGGGGGATCTACCCCAAGGACCCCACCAACGGCCCTAAGACGGGCCCATGGATGCTCACCTGACCGTAATTAAATACCTAAAGCCTCTGAGCTTCCGGAGGCTCTGCCTCCTGGACCCCACCAACAGCCCTAACGTGGCCCCATGGATGCTTATCTGACCATAATTAAATACCTAAAACCCCTGAGCTTCCGGGGGATCTACCCCATGGACCCCACCAACGGCCCCAAGACGGGCCCATGGATGCTCACCTGACCGTAACTAAATACCTAAAGCCTCTGAGCTTCCGGAGGCTCTTTCCCCTGGACCCCACCAACGGCCCTAACGTGGCCCCATGGATGCTTATCTGACCATAATTAAATACCTAAAACCTCTGAGCTTCCGGAGGCTCTGCCCTCTGGACCCCACCAACGGCCCTAACGTGGGCCCATGGATGCTTATCTGACCTTAATTAAATACCTAAAACCCCTGAGCTTCCGGGGGTTCTGCCCCTTGTCCCCCACCGGGCCACGTCAATTTACGCTCCACTCGCTTCGCCTATACCTGATCGTTAATACTCCTACTCATAAGGCCTGCATGTAACATGTAAAAGTGGTGGTTATGCACATTTTTCTTCTGCCCCCCCCCCCTCCAAACGTTTGAGCTCATTACGCCACAGCCCTTGGAAGATGAGCCCCCTGGAATTTTTGCCCCCCCCCCCTCCCCCCATCTCAAACTATTTCCGGCGCGCCTGAGTCAATGGATATAACACTCGTACCCCGGGCCCGTACCATCACCCGTATACTCGAACAAAAGATACAAGGAAGACTTGAAGGTACTGTTATCATGATTATATCCAGCGTATTTACCAAATATCCCATTGCTCGTACACTGTATGCGATTTCTTCACAAGACATACACGATATTATCTATTGCTCATTAAATATAATACAGGTCACCGGGTTATCATTTTGCTGCAAAAGAAAACAAAGTAAATCGACGTGCCCATGGCTGTGAAAACAAAGGAATGGATGGTGGCTTTCTCACTTTCCCCCTCCTTTTGTTCAAAACAAATATTATTATTTATATATATATATATATATATGAATTTGTTAACCAGAGAATGCCGGGGGTACGGTAAGCGAATTTTGAAGTAGAAAGAAACCTTTAATGATGTGAATGATTATTTCTTTTCGTTGTTGGAATATTTTCGGATGCAAAAGATACGTCGCTCCCACGTGCCTGAAGGTACCAGGCTGAATAAGTTGAAGTATAATGATCCATTTACTAAGACGAAATAAATCAATCTTCTTCTTCATTTAAAATGCCGACGCAAATCAATATTTAGCGTCACAATATATCCAGGACTCGACACTTACATGCGCCAGGGATGACTGCATGGGCCGCTTAAAAGGGCCAAAATCTTTCAAATGGTGGTCATAACATTTCGAACCCATGTTTGATTATTCAATATAAATGTCAGCATTTTACATTCTCTCTCTCTCCCGTCCCCCCCCCCCCCCTCTCTTCTATTTTTCTTTTTCTTTACACCAAATACCATTTTCCCCTATATACATATAACTTTCTTCTTTCTCTGTTTTTCTCTGTTTTGTTGTTTTTCTCGTTCCAGTTTGCTTTTTTCCTCTCGATCCTTTTGTATATATTTTCATCCTCTCCTTTTCAAATTTCAAGCTATCCCTTTTGTAAATATTTCCCCCATATTTAATCATGTGTAGTTTTGATAACTTTGAACCATTTTAAAAAGTGAAACATTGATGGATTATGTTATATGGGGACCTCGCTCTTACAAGCCTAGACAGCAATAACCATCTGATTTGGGTCATTTCTTTAACAAAACTGACATTTGTTGTCATTCCCCAATACAGATGGCAACCCAGAGATCTCGTACCGTGGGGGTGGCTATAGGCCTATATGTGCATATTTTCGTCCACGACATTTTCTCCCCGATTTTCTTTATTTAGATCTAATTTCCTGATTTCCAAATCAGATGTAAATTAGGTCGGTATGTCATTTGTCCTAATTACAGTTATCAAAATTTGATAACTCAATATTAAATGGATAATTTACGGACTTACTTATATGAATTATCCAATTTGTATCTCCGAACGTTCATACACTCGGAACATAGGGCTATATGACCCGGCGGCCAAAATATTTCCGGGTCAACCTACCAAAACATAGATAAATGGCCAATCAGAGCACTCGTTTCGTGGGAGTTCGTTGGTCAAGCTGGGCTTACTCGTACGTAGCTACGGTAGCTATTGGACGTTCGAAAAGAAAAAATGAATATTCATCAACTAACACCAAGACGGATAACGTTGACGACGAGACTTTCTCGGATTAATCATTAATTTAGGATCTAAATGAGCAAGCTATCGTAAGTCAAATAAGCTATATATATGTTATTTTTAATTTGTGTTATAATTGCAGCAGTTATGAGGATGTAAAGAGTGAAAATCTCGTTGCATATCTCATTCATCGCGGTCCGGTCGAACCGAACCATTTGTTCCGTACAGTGCCTCACAGAAAGAGGTCCCCAGACTTCAGTCTCTATAATCGGAGGTCTAGTTGAGCCAGACGTAGTCTCAGTGGAACAACCGACGATTAGAGAGACTGAAGCTTTCGGTCTATTACAAGCCCAGCTTTTCTAAGGTCTCCACTTTCTTTCATTTGGATTATATATCGACTTAAAATTGCACTTAAATTGTTTTTTCTTATGCTGTTTTTTGTTCTATTATTATATGTAAAAATGTTGTGAAAGAAAGAAATAAAATGAACCTTGAACCTTGAACCTTGACCCCAGTCCGAATAGGTTAGTGTGAAGCCCTGTTATATGAATTTATGATGCACGTTGCACACGGTGCGTCGTTTTACTGATGTAGAAGTGCTTTAAAAAATTAGCGCGGTCTTTGACGTGCCACGACGTGTGACGGTAATATCGCATACAAAATGAACAGTATAAAATTGCTTTAAGGTAGTACAAAATTTTGGCCAATTTTGAAAATTGGGTGGAAAGTGATTCTTTGAAATGTTGATATATTTGGATGCCCCTGTGGATGCATTATAAGCACTAGAAAAATTAGCACCTAAAACACTTCTGCTTTCGAGAAAATTTTGATATAAAAATTTACCGGTGCTCCCGGTAACTTTTGATAAATTTTTAAATAGCGCCTACGGCCGTCCAATGGTAGCTGCGACCATGAAAAATCTCAGAATATATAGTTGTGATATATAAGTTCCAAACGAGAATAGCTAATCGGTCGATTTTAGTCAAAAAACATTGTTTTATAGTCTAATTATAATCTTGACCTTGAGAGGGAGCTATACAACATGGAGGGTGTATTATTAACAATTTCATAACTTTAGACTCGATTTCAACCGCGACAACGATCACTGAATATTGTAGGATCGCATATGCTTCCAATATGGTCATTTGAACCAAATTCACGACCCCATACCAAAACTTTGTATTACCTTTAAAAGTACTGGCAAATTCCTTCCTGATATCATGAGTGCAGGTAATAACGCAATCTCAATAACGCTTCTTTTGAAACAGCCTTCACAAAACACATTACCATAAAAACAATTTGTATTATTTGACGGAAACACTGGTCAAAACGAATTGAAGAAACACAAAATGTAATAATGGTGAAATCGCATTTCAAGAAATGTTTATTCATATTTTATTTGTTATATATTTATATTTTTTGTCAGGGTAGCCTATTCACCAATAAGTAATGGTTTTCCATGGGGTCCTGAATAATTATAAATATACTTACAACAAAAAGGATAACGTTTATACAGAACAGTTAAAATAAAGTCGCATAGTAAATTTAGAAAGATATAACACAGCAATAATAGATTTGGCACAAACGAATACTCGTTTGCAAAATAATCATATATCATTAACCTAGTTCAACTCTAATGCCAATAGGAAAATATTGAATTCGCAATAATGTGAATAAATCATGTTAATATTACAGAATATGCACGTAGTGAATGTCCGTCTGAGCTATTCACAATTTACAACTTTGTTTAAAAAATCTCGTTCTCATCGAATTATCTAGCTTATTCCATTCAAATATAGAAGAAACAATTGGATTACAATTATAACAATCAATGTGAAATCTGGGCACAAGTTGACATCCACTGTCTAATTGCCGTGTATGATGCTTATGTACATTATTAGGATTGATTAAGCCTACCTGAAGGTAAGAAGGTGCTAAGTTATGAACGCATTTATTTATCTACCAGCGCGTATCTCGGGGATCGCGCCGTCACTAAGGATCGCGCCATCACTCGGCTTAACGCTTATAGTCGGCGAATAAAAAAAAATCAGTAGAAGGGTCCAGAACTAGACGAGTTTCAACAGCACTTCGTCTCCTTCGTGCAATTCCCCCTCTTTTGCACCTCTCTTTGCGTCAATGTACAGCTTGTTCTTTTGCTTTCTTATCGCATCCCTATCTCGGACTTCTTCATCCAACCTCATAATTTTTTTCCATTTCAGGAAGTCTGGTTCTCAGCTTTCGCTGGAACATCATTTCAGCCGGAGCAACACCGGTTACACTATGCGGTGTTGTGCAATATAGGCGAACATGTACTCCCTAACTTCCCTTTTCCAGTCTTTCTTTTTTAGCTTGGGCGATGCGAACCCTTTTCATGATTGACCTATTCTGTCGCTCAACCTCCCCATTCGCAGCTGGATGTGGAGGGGCAACCCTCGATCCGATGCTCTCCTGGTGAGATAGTCTTCAAACGTCTGCGATATGTAGTGAGGACCGTTGTCAGATGTAACACTGAATGGAAGACCATGTTGAAGGAACATCTTCTCTAGTGATGCAATGATCATTTCACTAGATTTATCCTTCATGATGTCAATCTCATAGTAGAGACTATCATAGTCAACAACAACAAAATTGTAGTCCTTCGATGGCAGAGGACCCAACAAATCAATAGCAATGGTTTGCCATGGTCCTGATGGCAGTGGTGTAATGGTAATCAGCTCTGGAGAAGGCATGGCAGATGTTATCCGATATCCGTGACATGACTTGACATAGCGTTCGACCTCCTTCTCCATCTGAGGCCACCAAACCTTGATACGAAGCCTCTAGCTTAGTCCCTACAATGCCCAAGTGTCCCTGATGGGCTAACGCAACACTCTGTTGACGTAACTTCAGTTTGGCAACATTAAAGGCAGTTCAACAACCCACTACTTGGTGAGCTTAGTGGATACAATCCTCAAGGGCTTAGATAGGCCTGGCCACTGTGCGTCCCATTGCACGATAGATTTTTCTAAAGCCTTCGATCGTGTCAACCACAATATAGTGATTCGCAAACTCTTCACGTATGGTGTCAATGAAGCAGTTCTTCAGACCGCGACCAGCTTCTTAACTGATCGCACCCAGGCTGTTAGAGTTGGCTCTTGTATCTCCGAGGAAAGGCATTTGACGTGCGGAGTTCCGCAGGGAACAAAACTAGGCCCTTTGATGTTCCTAGCTCTGGTGAATGATGCCGCACATGATATTGAGCATCATTGGAAATATGTTGACGACCTAAGCCTTCTCGAGATTCGCACGACATCGGCACCACCGAAACTACAGGACCATCTTGACGAATTAGAAAATTGGAGTAAAGACAATGACATGAAATTCAATACCACCAAGAGCAATGCCATGTCTGTCAACTTCACGAAACGTACCATCAACACTCCTTGTTTGCGTCTCAATGATGAGCCTCTGAAAACAACGGAATCCCAGAAAATACTGAGCGTGCACTTACAATCCAATCTCAAGTGGGACAAACAAGTTGGTGATATGGTATCAAGAGCGGGAAAGCGAGTATTTATGATAAGTCATCTTCGAAAGGCATCCATCCCAAGTTGTGACTTAGTGAACATCTACTCATCCTACATACGTCCTCTTTTGGAGTATTCATCTCCCCTTTGGTCCCCAAGCATCTGCAAATCAGTACAATGATATTGAGAAAATCCAGAAACGTGTCTGCCGCATCATTATGAAGGACCAGTATGTCTCTTACGACCATGCTCTAGAGCACCTCTCCATCTGTCGTATGTCGGAGCGTCATGAACAACTACTGGATTCCTTTGCTCGTAGTCTGTTGGAATCTCCCCGGCATCGTGATCTTCTCCCTCCCTTACGTAGTGATATGTCCTCTCGTCGCCTACGCTCCTCACATCTTCTCAATACCCCCCTCTGTCGGACTACCCGGTATTATTCCTCAACGATACCTACTATTGTTAGACTGCTTAATTCACCTTGAATCTTTGAACTAAAACTGACAATGATCGAGTCAACAAAAATGTATTTGATTATATTCCCACATGCATTTTCATCTACTGATTGCTACTTTCGTATCTCTTCTTCTATGTGCAATATCAATTTAATAACAGAACTTGAGAATTTGTCAATCAATATGAAGTAGCCTATTTACTTGTTAATATTTATCTTTGTCGATGTCAACATTACATCTTTATCATTACTATATTTAATTCGTTCAAGGTTTCTTCACTTTATACTCTCTGATGTAATATTAATTTGCCAATTTCGCTGAATTCAGGACTATCACCTTGTTAATATTTATCTTTGTCGATGTCAACATTACATCTTCATCATCACTATATTTAATTCATTTAAGGTTTTTTCACTTTATACTCTCTGAGGTAATATTAATTTGCCAATTTCGCTTAATTCAGGAACATCACCTTGTTTAACCAATATTGAAACTTAGCTTTAATATTTTATTTTTTATCGTATTTTATCTGTATAAACATCTAAATATTATCCCACCTACGTATCACTGTTGCAATAAACCTGTAAATTGTTAATTATCAACTTTCTATCTCATGTAAAACCAATGACAATCTTATATCACCAATGAAACTGTAAATCGTATTTAAATATACATAATATTTGTTAAGTGTTCTATATATTTTAATGTGTTATCAATGCAATGTTATGCCATGTACTTTTTACTCTGTAAATTGAACAATTTCAGCTTTTAGCTGCATGTCCAATGATTTTTATCTCAATAAACCAATACAATACAATACAAAAAAAACTTCTTCGGGATTACTGATTTTACTATGTCCATCTTTTTATATTTGTCATATGCGTTCATACGCAATTTTATGTAGCTGTTTATATATATGAAGTGAATAAATAAATTGACTTGAATTGAATGATACTTATATGATCAAATAATATACATTATGCATATGTATTTCCACAAAACAGGAATAGAATATGTAAAGACTCGGACCAGGGAAATGTTCCATCGTAGCAAATAAAGGTTAAAGGGGAAGTCCACCCTGAAATTAAGTTAGTTTTAATAGGAGTAGAAAAATGAGAGAAACAAGTCAGTGAAAGTTTGAGCAAATTCCGATTAAAAATAAGGAAGTTAGGATTTTTGAAGTAGTGAACAATCAAACACAAATTGGCAACTCTATGACGTATCATGCGAGCTCAACTTCCATTTGCTCAGTACTAAAAAAATCTAAAATTTTCATTTTCCCTGAAGAAAAATTTCAACCATACATGCACCCTAAATATAATAATTGCAAATATGTTTCTATACTCCCCCTGCAAGGAACAAATATATATTCCGTCATCAATAACGAAGAAAACATGATTTTATGGAATATTATGCACAAAGCAAATGAAGGAGAGCTCGTATAATAAGTCACAGAGTTGCCAATTTGTATTTGATTGATCACAACTTCAATAATTCATAACTTTCTTATTTTCATTCAGAATTTGCTCAAACTTTCACTCACCTGATTTTCTTATTATTCTGCCTCTATCGAAACAAACTTATTTTGGGGGTGGACTTTCCCTTTCAGGTTTGAAAGTAGTACGAGTAAACAAATAAACAAATTATTTAAAAAGAAAAAAGAAAATGTAGAACCGAGTGTGCGAATGGGCGTCACAAGAGATGGTATAGATTGACTACTACCCTTTTATTTTCCCCTTTTTTTGTTCGTCATAACTGTCATTATCGTCGTATTTTGCCCACTTTGACAAATACTTAAATTAAAAAAATGTATTTTGCGTGTTTAGAAATGTCTAAACTCTTGGCAGCAAAACTGAAAAGTTGAGGACTTGGCCTTTTCGTCACTATTGCATGAAAAACTGTCTGCTTTGTCTGAATATGTTAATAAAGCTTAACGTTGAACAAGTAGATAAACACATTCTGAAGGCGATTTCTCGTTATTTCATAATTCTTGAGACAACTGACAAGCTATGGTCTTCAGAATACTTCGTGGAGACGTTCTCTGCCGTCTATGGCGGCTTCGATGTTGTCGACCACGATCTTTAACATCGGTGGTGCAGGTGCTGATGTGGGGTGTGACGATGACGTTGGGCATTGTCAGGAGGGCGTGGTCGCACCAGATACCCCTCACAATACTAATAGCAAGCGGTATGTCTTTAAAATAACTCCTTACCTGGTGAGGGGAGAGTTGTCCGTAAACGAATGGTGATGACCGAAGTCGACCACGTCAGCGAGTTCTGTTTTGCAACGGTTGTCATGCCAGACATGAGGAACGAAGATGCGATATATGTCCGATTGAAAGTAATATAATCCAATTATTACACACGGTGTCCTATGGATATGTATGTGACAATGAGTCAATAGCAATCCAACGGAAGTAAAAGGTTAACGATGAAACAAGAACAATCAGTCTAAGGAGACGCACATACATGACTTGTGTAGATTTAGTAGGACTGATTATATTTCATCCTACTTCTGACTTTATATATACTTTTTTGCCTCTAGGATACTGAATGTGAAAAGAAGTGGGTGATCTTGTATTAACTTTGATCTTTTAATAAACGTAATGTTCACTGATCATTCTGATTATTCTGCCGAGAAGAAACAGATGTCCACGCTCTCATTATCCTATAAGCTTTCTTATTATGATCGCGCGTTCTATTAGTATATCGGCACTGTATTTTTTGTGTAGCATACAGTGTACTTACAGCTGCTTTTTGTCCCCAGGATTAAAGGTAAAGACCAGTTTTGGAAACGCCCCCTCTCAAAAAATGAAATGAAAGCTTTTATTACCAATCATATGTGAAAGAATATGTTTGATGTAAATAGCAGCACCATTAACAACAAATACAGCCAAAGATATATTGGCACTCAATGAGTCCTTCTATGTAAAGACAACTGTGAAGGGGATAGATACCTGCTACTTGGCGGATAAATGCACTAATCCGTAGCAACAGGGAACCACTACGTGGTGGATATAATACCACTCCTTTGCATAATGAACCCCACTATACACGGCAGATACGAGCACCACTACATAGCTAAAACAGGTGCATCTATTTGGCAGATCTTGATACTGCTGCATAGAAAATATGGGTTTCATTATGTGGTGTAAGCACCACTACATAGCTGAATTGAGACCAACTACCAACTAATATAGGCCATAACGGTCTATCTTGACACAAACAGGTTTCTCTCCTAGACTAATCTACTTAGGCCATGATGGTGTAGTATTTTCCTCATTTCATCCTTCTTCGTTTCTCAATTTCATTTGTTACTTTGCCAAATGGATTTGGGAGGACATTACCCTCTGACATATGCCAGGCACTGTCACCCCTAAATATTTGTCAACAAGTGTCAGCTTAATGGCTTCAATGTCCCTGTACCCAGTAATCACCAGTGACTCACCCTTACTTCTAATTGTTTTAATCCTGCTTCGCAATAAGGAGCAAAACAACATCTTGTTTCTCATCCTCACTTCTCTCTTCTAAAGTAAACTTCTCAAAGATTTCTCATCGAGGCAACACGGTAATTTGAGAACGTCATCTCTACTACCATAATTTGTTTCCCGCATACACTTGAAGCAAATTACTTCTATTTCAATTCTAACCTCCTTCATCTCGTTTTGAAGAATCTTCGTAAATCTAACATCTCTGCAGTTCACTCAGAGAACATTCCTAAACATCGCTTGTGCTAGCCAAGTATGGTTTTGTGATATCATCAGTGGTGATTGTGTGGTGTACAACTTGACGATAGTGCAATATTTGGAGCAGTTTTATTTCTTATTGG